AACTAGGCCTAGGTGAAACCCGTGCTACTAGGATGAGCCTTCAATTAGCTGACCGATCTGTAGTGCATCCTAGGGGAATAGTGGAAGACCTTCTGGTTAAGGTTGGCAAATTCAATTATCCTGTGGATTTTGTTGTCTTGGACATCAATGAGGACACAGAAGTGCCCCTTATATTGGGAAGGCCTTTCCTGGCCACCGCCAAGGCTCTCATAGATGTGCATGATGGGACCTTAATTCTGAGGGATGGCGAGGAGAGAATAATGTTTTCAATTGCTAATACTCTTCCTGCTTTGTCACCTCTGCATGCTGTATCTCACCAGGAGCACGAGTCTGTCTTGTATCATTCTGTGTTTCCTATTTTGCAGGATCCGCCTCCCAGACCTTCGCCGCCACTCCCGTCCACTCCGTCACCGAAAGAACAGATCAAGGAGGAGTGGCGGCCGAAACTGCAGGCAGCTAAGCCTGTCCGAAAGAAAGCAGGAGACCACTACGAGCTGGTCCCGCCCCCACCTTGGCCATCCGAGTATTCACTCACTTGCATCCTGCCGGATGGCCAAGTTGAGTTGGCAAATGCTGGTGGGCATATTCGTCGTGTGCATGGCCACCATTTGAAGCTGTACCTCAAGAGCGAGGTGGATCCGCTCTTGAAGGCACCTACTCCTTCACCTCATTGAGCATCCACCGACTGGCGTCCAGCTAAAAGACGGTAAAGAAGCGCTTGTGGGGAGGCAACCCCACCTAGGTTTGCATTTTCTTACCTTTTTCCTTTTGATTTTTTGTGTTTTTTTGAGTCTTGAGGGGTTGTTCACGAGTTGTATATCGTTCTGGAGTGAAAACAGGTCAATTTCGGAGTTCTGGCAGCCCACACGGCCAAGCTTGAATGTCACACGGCCGTGTTGATTTAAATTTTGGCCGTGTGAGCTCTCGCAGAATTTCACACGGCCAGCTGTGATAGTGGCACGATCGTGTGGAAATCCCCCTTGGCCGTGTGAGCTCTCGCACAATATCACACGGCCAAATGTGCTTTTCGCACGGCCGAGTGGAAAATCCTCGGCCAGCCCGTGTCGGCCGACACGGGCAAATGTGTAACTCACACGGCCGTGTGAGCCTGCCCGTGTGGCCGAGCCACGGGCTATAAACTCGACCGACACGGCGACATCGATCTGGACAACCTTGGCGACGAGTAGGCTGTACTTGTCGCCCCTCAGTGTGTGTTTTTTTTATTTCGACTTTTTTCTGTTTGCTCCATGTGTTTGAGGAGCTTGAACTGAGTTTATCGTGTGTTTTGTTTCTTTCCTTTTGTGGATTGTTTCTTTTGTGGCCATCTGGGCCAACTCTGATCCCTAACGAACATGTGCTAGTGTGTTCTTGATGTTCCCTTAGTGCATAACTGTCTGTTTGTTCCATATGTCCCACGGTGACTGGTCCACTTCCAGTCTCCCGCAGCATTTCGATCCGGTAACATCGTTCCCCTTCTCTATCCCTCTGCTCCATTGAGGGCAATGTCGTGCTTAAGTGTGGGGGGTGGGGGTGCTTTGTATCGGTTGGAATGTATATACGTGTGCTTGGAGCCTAGTCCACTGTCCAAATCTCGAGATTTGAGGGCTCCAAGTACGGCTGTTTAGGACAACCGTGTTTGAATTGGTGAATTGAATGGTTTTCAGATTAATGCATGACAACTGGATGGTGATTAGGACAACCTATAATGATGATTGAGACGTGCAGTAGAATTGTGTAGGGTTCAGTTTTTCAACTGTTTGCTTACCAACTGTGACTTGGATTGATTACTTGTTTTGACAGTCTCTTATGCATCTAGTTCAGGGAATCAGAATGAGAGATAGAGCATATAGGTAGCCATGTGAGATTTGAGCCTGCTCGTTTCTTTCTTGTGCGATAGATCCATCTTCCATGATGTGTAGCATTCACGTTGTCATTAGCTAAGATGATGGAGGCATAGGATTAGCCCACGACCAAATTGACTGTCCTGGTGTGTCATACCCCCTAGTCAGCCCTTTGAGCCGTGTGTTATCCTTTCTTTCGCTCTTCAATGAAAAGTCACCCTTTTGCATCTGTTAGAAGGTTCCACAGAGTGAATTTTACATGTTCTCTGCTGTTTCTGCTAAATGTAATGTGAGAGTTGGAGGTAGTTCTTAAAAATTTGGACAGGTGTTTGAAAATGTGCAGAGGTGGTGGTTCTCTTAAGAAATGAAAACAAATGAAAGAAAAACAAAGAAAAAATGAAAGCAAAGGAGAGCCACCACCAAGAATCTGAATAGTGCCCATTAAGTAGTGTTTCTTAGCAGTCTGGCTTAGAAATACTGGTATTTATGTGACCTCCTTCGCTCTTGTGCTCTGAATTTGAGTAATGCAGAATAGCAGAAAGAAAGTACTGGTTTGATTGACTGTGAGTTTGTTGGGTTTTGAATTGTGGAACCTTGTGCTATGAATACTTCCACTACCTAAAAGGCCTTTTCCCCATGTCCAAGACCCTAGCCAGTCATTTGAACCTGTGTCTAAGACCTCTTGATTAGTTAGTGATGACAACCATTCATGTGAACTCTAACATTTAGAGGCTGCCGTCATGGTGAAGAGATGTTAGGAATTGAGAGGATTAGTATGCGCATTTTTCGCATCAAATTGTCCTGACCCCACTGGTCGAGAGTGAGCGATTCATTTCCTTGTTCTTTACACTCTTTACCCGGTGAGGACCTAGATGGCTTGGTCTTGATTCTAATGTCTTGAGTTTTATGCATGAGTTGACTGTCTTGAGTGAGTGATTGAGTCAAGTCTAGGTTGGTTGATGAACAGAAGGGAGACTCCTCCTTTACTCGATTTTGCTGCACTCGAATGTCTTCTGTGGTGGTTGTCCAGGTTGCTATTGAGGTTGTTCATGTGTTGATGTTTGAAAGCCAATATGATTCACGTGTTTCTGTGCCTATATGATTTGTCCCCAATGTTGGTATGATTGAAATATGTGAGCTGACCTTGTGTCTGACTTGGTTTGCTTGGGGACAAGCAAACGGTTAAGTGTGGGGGAGTTTGATAAGCCGTTAATTGCACATGTTTTTGCCCCTATTCTGGAGCCGTTTGAGGTGTTGATTCTCGTGTTTTAGGCCGATTTCATGCTAGGTTGTGTTTGTTTGTGATATTTCAGGTCCTAGCAAGTGAATAAAGGTTTAGGAGCGAGTTCGGGGTCGATTGGACGAAGATCGGGCGCGAGGCAAGTCAAAAAGGAAGCCACACGGGCACAATCACAACCCACACGGCCGTGCAAGTGACCAATTTGGCCGTGTGGGATTGTGCGAGACCTCACACGGGCACAGATAATTTCCACACGGCCGTGTGAAGTTGCAATTTGGTCGTGTGGAATTCCTCGAGGCTTCACATGGCCAGGCTGGGTGAGCTGCACGGCCGTGTGACCCTAGCCGTGTAGGAAGCCTGAAATCAAATTACTCGGAACGCGCCGTTTTGAAGTCACACGGGCAACTGGGTATCCCACACGGTCGTGTGAGCCTGCCCATGTGAGTCGGGAATTTCTGGTTTTTTACACAATTTCGGGCTGCAAGTGAGAGAATCGGACTTGGAGAGCAAAAATAGAGCCCTAGAGAGAGAAAGTACGAAGAACACATCCTAGAAGCTATCTTGGAGCTGGGTTTCATCAAATCCAGCTTGGAGATCGTCATAGGAGTGGAAATCATCATCCCATAGCAAATTCTTCCCAATGATATGACTATGACTGCTGTGTATTCTGTTTTCCCCTCTCTCTCTCTATGGAGTAGAACCCTTCTCTCACTTGGGTATGAAGAACCCTAGTTCTATGTGTTAGGGGTTTGATTGTAATGACTAGGGATGATATTACTGCTTGGTTTTAATCGAATGATGCATGTTTATTGAGTCACTTGAAGTCTGATCAGCTTTTCCTGATTTATGCTGCAACCTGAGATAGATAGAATCTGATTAGGTTGTTAGAGCCTCATCATTCGGTAGGTAGGAGATTGGCTATACGAGAGTTAGCCATTTTACTGCTTTGTACTGGAATCCAATTCCAGTAGTGGAGTTCTGTTCTTATTGCTTCAGCTTTCTATCCCGGTGAAGACTAGTCGTCTGCCGGGTAGTTAGACTGAGAGGGCTTGGTCAGCTTAAGAGATTCCAAGCTACTGTCGGATCTTCCGCAGTCTAATCAACAGTAAATCACCCCAGGGAAATTACAATTGAAACCTAACTAAGGAGCTAGGGGGACTCATTCCCGAGTGACTCTTATTTGCTTGAGAAAACCGTTCCAATTCCTGCTTTCTTTCTGCTTTTGTTTTGAACAACAATCACTTAAATTAGTTGGCTAGATAATAGAGAATCACGGAGTAAGCAGTAGATCTAGACCCCGGGTTGATAATAGAACTTGCCATTTTACTGCATTCCCGGACTGCGATTACACTTGGTCGCAGTTTGGTGTTGTGTTTTGGAGTGTCAGACCTGAAATGTGACAAAGGAACACAACCTAGCGTAAAATAGGCCTAATAAACAATAATGCAAGTTTAAACGATCAAGAAATAAAGGGGAAAACATGTGCAAATATTGACTCATCAAATTTGCAGCCAGAAATCGAGACATGGGCTAACCTGAGGAGCCTCATGAGGGAGCGATTCGTGCCAGGGTATTGCAACCACAAATTACCCGAATCCCAACAACGAATTGACAGGGATCAAGGTCTCTTGAAGACTACTTTCGAGAACTGGAACTGCTAATTATGCGAGCAGATGTAAGGGAAGATAAGGAGGCAACAATTGAACAATTTCTTCACAGATTGAGCTGATATATCCACTTGGAAGTCGAGCTATAATCATTTGTTGATATGGAAGAGGTTTTGCACCTCGCAATCAAGATCGAGAGGCAGCAAAAGACGATGACAAGTCGGAGGTACTCACCGGAGACTAACCAGCGGCAGAGTCCAATGCTGACTCGAATCCACCTCAACCTTGGCCAGAAAGCACCAAATCAGTACCTTAAAACAATGCTCCCACCCCTCCATAACATTCAGGAGCTATACAATTTTTCAAGTGCCATGGAAGCGTGTGGCGAAGAACATGCTGGGCTTGGAGGTCATCGTGAACCTCTCGGTTAGTGAGTTTCCCACACAAATCGACCCCTAAAATTGCCAGCAATGAGGTCATTTGCGGTCCAAATGGGATCTTTCCACTGCAGTCTTCCTCTCGATATTTAATCATGTGATTAAACATGAGGGAAGCATAGCTGATTGGGCAACTTGTCCTTGCGTTGAACATAATCCAGAGGTCAGATTCTTCAAGGGTAGTAGTTGTTTCAGCAGCTCGAGGGAGAAACATACGCGTAATGTAGAAGTGTAGAGCTTTCAGATCATCCGGCAGCCGCTCAACGGAGAACATCGAGGATTGGCACTGCCCGTAGTCGCTGGCTAGGTACGACATAGTGTGTATGGGATGAAACCCATAGCTGTCTTAGCAACTTCTATTGCAGTTATCTGCAATAGAAGAAGCTAAAGATAACTGCAATATAAATAAGGACAAGACTGAATCAGTAGGTAACCTTTGAGATCTTCTTATTTATAGCCTTCAGCAATGGACTCCAAAGGTAACTGCAATAGAAGAAGCTAAAGACCTAGAGACGTTAGCCATAGATGAACTCATAGGGTCATTAGCAACTCATGAAGACAAGCTCAACAAGGGAAATTATGATTAAGGGAAAAAGGGAATAGCCTTCAAGGCTACCACATACAACGAAGACACAGAAGATCTCGATGATATGGAGGATGAGGAATTGGCTCTACTAAGCAAACAAATTAGTAGACTACTTCGAGTGAGAAGAGAAAAACGAAGAGGAAACTTCGTTAACAAGAATAGAGAAGTTGAGAAAGAAGGCGGTACATCAAAATACCCTCAATCAAGAGCATTCCACAAAAACAAGATTGAACAGGTTCAACCGGTTAAGGTTCAAAACACTACCGGATGCTTTAGATGTGGGAAAACTGGGCATATCAAGGCTGAATGTCCTCTAGCAAGAAAAGAACGAGCCACGGCTGCAACCTGGAGCTGTAGCGAAGAAGAAGATGAAGATGTAGAGGAAACAAGAGATGAAAGTTACATGGCTATTGACGTTGAGGAGCCATCAGAAAGACATAACCCAAACGAGGTAAAATCTTCCAACCAGACTTATTTCAGTGATAGTGATTACTATAGTGATGATGATCAATTAGTGTCCACTATCAAGGAAATTCAGTTAGAGTTTGGAAATGTTAAAGTAAAATATTCTAAACTAAAATCTGATTATGCCAGAATAAATATTGAATATGATGAACTAAAGAAGGAGGCGGTCAGATTAAAAGAAGAGTTAGAAAAAACTACTAAGAAAGTTGAAGTCTTAGAAAATGAGAAATTGAGTCTCATGGTAAAACTTAAAGAATCATTAGAAGGAAATAAAATTAAATCTCTAAGAAAGGAAGGTAATTCTTACCTAAATCATTCCACTAAGGGATGTTGTGAAAACTTAGGATCAAATTCATGCAGTAAAGGCAAGTCAAAGATTTTTGAAAAGTCATTAAAGCATGAGAGGAATGAAACTTCAAGACAAAGATATAGGGACATAGAATGTTTCTATTGTCATGAGGTTGGGCACATTAGGCAAGTATGTAGGAAGAGAATACTAAATGAAAAATATAGAACTTGTTTTACTTGTCATTAAGTTGGTCACATTAGTAGATTTTGTTCTATTAAAAATCACAAACAAACTGTATCCAAGAAAGTCTGGATACAAAAACCCAAAACTGCATGACTGCTAATGGCGAAGGTTTGCTTCCAAGTGAGCATGGAGGCAACATAATGGATACTAGACAGTGGATGCTCACATCACATGACAGGAAATTGAAAGCTATTCACCACACTCAAGGAAGGTAAAGGTGGTAAGTTATTTTTTGGTGACAATAATTCTGCTGATATAATAGGAAGAGGAATAGTAGGTTTAGATCCTTGCATTGAGAATGTGATGCTAGTAAAAGGTCTTAAGCATAATCTATTTTCTATTAGTCAAATGTGTGGTAAAGATAAGAGGATAATCTTTGAACATGATTGATGCTACATTGAGCCTTTAGTTGATAAGAAAGTGCTTTTCACCGGAAGACGTAAAAATAAGCTGTATGTCATAAATCTAGATGATAAAGAAAGTTTTAAAATAACTTGTCTAATGTCATTAGAGAAAAATGATCAGATAGACTAGCATAGGAAGCTTGGACATGTGAGTATAGGAATTCTATCTAAACTTAGTGATCTTGAGCTAGTTAAAGGTCTGCCTAAGTTAAAAGGCAAAAAGGAATTTTTTTTGTGATGCTTGTGCTAAAGGAAAGCATACAAGGTCTAGCTTCAAGAGTAAGTCAGTAATATCTACATCGAGACCACTTGAACTACTTCATCTTGATCTCTTTGGACCAACCAATGTGGTAAGCTATGGAGATAAGTCCTATGCTTTTGTAATTGTAGATGACTACTCTCGTTTCACTTGGGTAATGTTTCTAGCTAGCAAAAGTGAAGATTTTCAAAGTTTTGAGTCTCTAACTAAGAAATTGGAAAATGAAAACCAATCTAAGGTTGGTAGCATTAGAAGTGATCATGGTGGAGAATTTATCTCAGAAGATTTTGAACTCTTCTGCAATAAGCTAGGAATAAGTCACATTTTTCTGCTCCTCGAACTCCGGAACAAAATGGAGTGGTGGAAAGGAAAAATCGAACCTTGATTGATATAGCTCGAACAATGTTACATGACTATGGCTTGCCAAAGTACTTCTCGTCTGAAGCCATAAATACTGCTTGCTATATTACTAATCGAGCTTTGATCAGATCTGGAATTAAGTAGACTCCCTATGAAAGTTGGAGAGGAAGAAAACCCAATCTGAGTTACTTCCATCCCTTTGGTTGCAAGTGCTTTGCATCAAACACCAAAGATCATCTTGGCAAGTTTGATGCTAAATCCGATGAATGTGTGTTTTTGGGCTATTCCATGACTAGCAAAGCATATAGAATATTGAACAAAAGGACTCTCAAGGTGGAAGAGTCCATAAATGTGATATTTGATGAATCTGCTAATGAGTGTTCAGATGAGATAGATGAAGATGATTTTGTACTTGGTGGGAGCTATTATCTACCAAGGATACCAAACACGGATAAATCTGAATCCCGAACGATCATATCTGAAGACCATGATAAAGCAGTAAGTACCACAAACTCTCCAATCGAGCAAGACCATGATGTAAGGCAACCTCCTCCACATATTGCCAAACGTCATCCTTCTTCTCTTATGATAGGAGGGCTAAATGAAGGTATGGTCACTTGCTCTAGAAATTCTATTGTGCACACTGCTTTTGTGTCTTTGATTGAACCTAAAAATGTGCTAGATTCCCTGAATGATGAAAATTGGAATGCTGCTATGAACGAAGAAATGAGTTAGTTTGAACATGCTAATGTGTGGGATTTGGTACCCAGACCACCTAATAGAGTCATTATCGGGACTAAGTGGATTTACAAGATCAAGTCGAATGAAAATGGGGTAGCAACTAGAAACAGGGCTACGTTAGTAGCTAAAGGGTATAATCAAGAAGAGGGAATATATTTCGATGAAACCTTTGCTCCGGTCGCTAGATTAGAGGCTATTAGAATGTTATGTGCGTTTGCTAGCTCTAAGGGTTTCAAACTTTTTCAAATGGATGGCAAAAGTGCCTTTTTAAATGGAGATTTAAAAGAGGAAGTGTATGTTGAACAACCACCCGGTTTTGAAGATTTTCGATACCCAAACCATGTCTATAAATTAAAGAAGGCACTATATGGTCTTAAACAAGCTCCACGAGCTTGGTATGAAAAACTTCGTTCTTTCCTTTTAGGAGAAGGTTTTAAAAGGGGTTCAGTGGATAAAACTCTCTTTATAAAAAATAGAGGATAACACATGTTGCTAGTGCAAATATATGTCGATGACATTATATTTGGATCTTCTAGCAAAGAGTTGTGCGAATATTTCGAAAATATCATGAAGAAGTCGTTTGAAATGAGTGCCATGGGAGAATTAACATATTTTTTGGGTTTACAAATTAAACAAACAACTCGAGGCATTTTCATAAGTCAAACCAAGTACATTCAAAATATGTTAAAAGGCTTTGACTTTGGGAATTTAAAAACTGCAACTACACCTATGGCCTCTACCATTAAACTAGACAAGGATGAGTCGGGTAAGTCAGTTGATGAGAAGTTCTATAGAGGAATGATTGGGTCACTAATGTATCTTACTGCTAGTAGACCCGATATCCAATTTAGTGTGTGTCTTTGTGCTAGATTCCAAAGTGCTCCTAAGGAAAGTCATCTGACTGCGGTCAAGAGAATCTTTCGTTACTTAGCTGGTACAATGGATCTAGGTCTATGGTATGACTGTGAGTCTAGTCTCAATTTAATTGGATATAGTGACTCAGACTTTGCTGGGTGCATAGTTGATCGTAAGAGTACTTCCGGGACTTTTCAATTTCTAGGAAATTCTCTTGTGTCTTGTTTTAGTAAGAAACAAAGTTCTGTTGCTCTATCCACCGCCGAGGCTGAATACGTGGCCGCAGGTCTATGCTGTACTCAACTCCTTTGGATGAAGCATCAACTTTGTGACTACGGGTTAGAAATAAAGTCCATGCCCGTATTGTGTGACAATACGAGTGCCATTAACATGGCTAAAAAATCCCGTACAACATTCTCGAACCAAACACATAGAAATTAGGTATCATTTAATTCGAGAGTTGGTTGAAGAAGGCCAAATTCAGCTTGAGTTTGTGCCTACGACGAATCAATGGACTGATATGTTTACCAAACCTCTTAGTGTGGATCAATTTCTCACCATGCGTCGAGAACTTGGTCTAAGGGTTGGAGCCGTACCCCAGGGTCATGGGCCTAAGCCCAATTCCAATCCTTGAGAATTCTTCATCTCTGGTACAGTCCCAGGACAGCAACACGAGCTCGACTTCCCTTCTTCTTCTGATGCCTAAAATCTCTAAATTCCTTACCCGATCGAATCCTTCCCTTCTGTTCGATCAATTTCTTCCCAAAAAATTCCACCTCAATTATATATCCAAGGAAGTTCGGATATGTTGATAGAGGATGTAGTAGAATCAAATCTCTTCCTCTCAATTGATTCCTCGAATGAACTGATCCGATCTTTCCAGCTCCAAATCTTTCCCGCTTTACATAACTCTTTCAAAGAAGAGATCAATGCCTTCCTCATTTGTTTTTCGAGTAAGCCCCTATAAGAACCATCTTAGTTCAGTAGAATCATCATCCCATATTCAGCAAAAAGCAGCCGTTTATTATTTCCTCCTCACTCATTCCATCACCATGGCACCGAGCAATCCCCAGCTCAAAGTGCAACTTGCTCCTGCTGCCCTATTCTCCAATCGAGGATTCCGAAACTCGGAAGCATACTCCAGGTATCTCCGAAGCTTTCAAGATCGTGCTCTCCACCCTTCATTCCTCATTCCTCCCACCACCTTCAATCAGTATAGACTGCGAGTCAATGGGTATCTCAATGACCTTGGGTGGAACTCCCTACTCCAGAACCGGCTCCTCGATCAGTGTCCTGAAGCTGTGAGGATGTTCTATGCAAGTATGCAGTGCGGCCCTGGACGTAATCCGTCATACTTCACCACAACTGTCTACAATTTCAGTGTGACTGTTACTGCTGAAATCCTGGCCAACTTGTTGCACCTTCCTCATGGTGGCTACACTGCTGGAACTATTGAAGACTTTGACAGCTATGGGTTTCATCCCATAGACACTATGTCGTACCTAGCCAGACTCTGAAAGCTCTACACTTCTACATTACGCGTATGTTTCTCCCTCGAGCTGCTGAAACGACTACTACCCTTGAAGAATCTGACCTCTGGATTATGTTCAACGAAAGGACAAGCTACCCAATCAGCTATGCTTCCCTCATGTTTAATCACATGATTAAATATCGAGAGGAAGACTGCAGTGGAAAGCTCCCATTTAGACCGCAAATCACCTCATTGCTGGCAATTTTAGGGGTCGATTTGTGTGGGAAACTCACTAACCGAGAGGTTCACGATGACCTCCAAGCCCAGCATGTTCTTCGCCACACGCTTTCGGTGCTTAGACCCGGAAAACTTGCCAAAGTTCAAGGGGGAGACAAAGCTGCTAAGTCTGGAACAGATTCTGAAGAAGAGGTCAATGAAGTGGAAGAGGATACCTGGGTAAAGCGCAAGGCAACAGAGCTAACTGCTGTTGAAATCAGTAGTCTTGAGAAAGGAAAAGGGGTAGTCGAATGGTCTGCAAAGCGGAAGAAGTCTCTGAGAATGGATCACGTGCAGGAAGGAATAAGGCTGGAAAAGGAAGAAAAAGCCTTATTCGTGACTTTGCCTTGGCCCTGAAGGGAAAAGAGGCAAGTTCTTCTTGCAAACGAGTCAACAGGGTCTTATTCGTACCTTCGGAGGATGATGAAGTCGATCCATCTGAATATGCCTCATCTCCGGAGTACACCTACTAGGAATCGCTCTGCTGTTAGACTTAGGAGGAGTTCCATGAATATCTTCTTTGATTAACGAGTCTGGTTTGGTTGTTAAGTTTGTTTCAGGGGTTAATTGAAGTTCTGGTTAAGATAGTGTTTAGGTAGATTTGTTGAGACTTTGTGTCAAGTGTCTGGTGGTGTGTGTTTATGTTTCCTTGAATAAAATGGACTCCTATTTTCCTCTATTGTACGTTTGATACTTGCTGCCATGATAAAAGGAATGGACAGGCTGCACCAATGGTTTGTTTAAGTGTGCAGGTTTTGATTATTGTGAGCAGCTTAAAGGATGAACTTTGACAAGGTGAAACAAATTCTGGGACATTCTGTTCAGGGGGAGAAAGTTAGCCATTGACAAGCTGAGAGGGAGAATGTTAGCATCAGCTTGACAATGGCAGAACTTCTTGATTCAACTTGAAGGCCAAGGCAAGATTCAAATATGAAAATCAAGGTGGAAAATCAGTGGCTGCCCCAAAAGCAGTTAAGGCAAGTTTACAGGACAAAAAGAAGAAAGAATATAAACTTACCATTCAAGAAGATCTCAAGGGAGAATTGAAGGGCAACGACTAGTTGGTGGAGGCTATAAATAGAGACAAGACTGAATCAGTAGGTAACCTTTTCAAGTGATCAACAAAGCTAGCTAAGACAAAGGGGATTTTGTGAGAGAGTAGCAAGGTTGATAGAAAAGGGGGTTTCTCAAAGGGTTCGGGGAGAATTGCTTTAAGGGTTAGTGTTGGGGAAACACTGTTACGAGTTGCTGGGGAAGCAATTCGGGGTTTGAGAAGAGAGAGTTTGATCAATCGGGTTGAGATTGATCAAAGTGTTCTTGGGTAGATAGAGTTACATCGAACTTCATCGCTATATCTTTAGTGAATCGTCGGAGATCACACAACAGTGATTCTCCGACCGTGGAGTAGTCAGTATTGGGATTCTTCTTCTCCCAATACTGGAAACCATGTAAAAATCGTGGGCTGTCTTCTTACTATGCATTTCAGTTTTTGTTTTGTTTGCACCTCTGTGTTCGTGTTCTGATTGTGCAAGGGAACTTGTTCCATGAGCAGCCAGGGAAGGCGACGTACCTGGACAGAGTTGAGGAATTCGTGAAGCTGGGTTTGTCATAACAGGGTTCATTGTTTTGACTGGGCTCTTATTGCTGTGTTATTGATGTTCTTTCTCTATTCTTCATTCAAAAGGAAGCAGGTCCCTTTTTGATTGGAGTCTCTCGAGAGGGAAAGGAAGTTTTGGTTTTAGCTAATACTCTATCGTTTTTTTCGTCACTTAGAAGCAGGGTTGGGACAAGAAACGACTTGGGCTGGGTTTCCGGGTTTGCTTAGTCCATCTGCTTAACTAAAGTTATTGGGCTTAGAAGCCCAGTCGAGTGAAGAGTTTGTTGATGTGACTTGAATCGGACTATCAGCCGCTACGACTGGTAATCGGGGGTCTCGCTGCCCACATGGAGAAGTACTATAAATACTTCTCATACTCCTCTGTAATCTGTAATCTCCTTGATATAGTGAAACTGGCTCTCTCTCGCCCGTGGACGTAGCTAACACACATCGTGTTAGTGAACCACGTAAATCGTGTGTCGTGTTTTCGATTCTCGCTTTCGTATTCTTGCTTTGTCGATTCTTACGATTTCCCAATCCGTAACAGCGCATTTATAACAAGTGGTATCAGAGCTGCGGCTGGAAATCAGGCTAGGTTTTTCGATTCAGAAGAATGACGTCGGTGAACATGAAGATCGAAAAGTTCACGGGGAAGAACAGCTTCGCTATATGGCATATCAAGATGCAGGCTTTATTAAAACAACAAGGGCTGTGGGGGCCGCTGTCTGCGAAACAGAAGAAGGCAGCGGTCGATGACGATGAGTGGAATACCCTGGAGGAGAAGGCTCACTCGACCATCATGCTATCTTTGTCTGATGACGTCATCATTGAAGTCGCTGCTGAGAAGACTGCCGCGGGCTTGTGGTTGAAACTAGAGAGTCTGTACATGACTAAGTCTCTAACCAACAAGCTGCATCTCAAGCAACGGTTGTTCAGCTTGAGGATGCAAGAAGGTACGCCTTTGAGGGAACATCTCGAACAGCTTAACTCTATTTTGCTGGATCTGCGTAATATAGATGTTTAAGTTGATGACAAGGATGCTGCACTAATCCTACTGGTTTCTTTGCCGAGTTCATATGAGAATTTCGTTGACTCTTTTATTGCTGGTAAAGAAAGCGTGTCGTTGGAGGATGTCAGGTCCGCTCTTCATACGAGAGAGATCAGACATAAGGCGTCCGGTTCTGGTACAGGTGGTGAAGCATCGGGTTTGGCTGTTACAGGTGGAAAGGGAAAGAAGAAATCTGGTAAAGGGAATTCAAACAAGAATTCCAAGGGTCCCGGTCCACAGCCAGGTGATGCTTGCCACAACTGTAAGGAAGTGGGGCATTGGGAGTATAACTGTCCCAAGAGAAGAGGGCAACAGAAGAAACAAGGTTCAGTTGCCGTGGCAGAAGTGGACAACAGTTCTGAAGACGATCTCGCCTTGGCTGTAGATGAGAAGGCACATCGTGGGGATGTGTGGTTTCTGGATACTGCAACCTCATACCATATGTCTCCGAACAGGATTGCTTCACAACCTACGAATAGATAGATGGTGTAACGTGGTCAAGGCAAATGGAGCTGTCTGCAAGGTTGTTGGAATCGGGTCCATAAAGGTTCGGACACATGATGGTTCGTTCTGTACCGTGAATGATGTCAGGCATGTTCCATGAATGACAAAGAACCTGATCTCCTTGAGTCTACTCGACAGCAAGGGTTTCAGTTTCAAAGGAAAAGGTGGAGTTGTGTATGTCTGCAAAGGTTCAAGGAAGGTGCTGAAGGGCGTGAAGCGTGGGACCTTGTATGCATTACAAGGGTCTGTGTTGTCTGGTTCTGCTGCAGTTGCATCGTCTCGGGTTCATCAGGAAGATATGACCACTCTCTGGCACATGAGATTGGTGCATATGAGTGAACGGGGGATGCAAGTTCTGTCGAAGAGGGATCTTCTTTGCGGGCACAAGATGCAGAATTTGGAATTCTGCGAGCATTGTGTGTTTGGGAAGCTACATCGCAACAAGTTTCCAAAGAAGGGTATCCACCGGACGAAGGGGATACTAGATTACCTCCACTTTGACTGTTGGGGTCCTTCACGAGTTGAATCCATTGGAGGCAGCATGTATTTTCTGTCTATTATTGATGATTATTCGAGATTTACGTGGATTTTCATGATGAAGCAGAAAAGTGAGGCTTTCACGAAGTTCAAGCAATGGAAGACATTGGTGGAGAATCAGACCGGGAAGAAGATCAAGAAGCTGCGAATGGACAATAGTCTGGAGTTCTGTAATTCTGAGTTCAACGAATTCTGCAAGGATGAAGGGATTGCCCGTCATCGGACTGTGAGAGATACACCCCAGCAGAATGGTGTTGCAGAAAGGATGAACCAGACATTGTTGGAGAGAGCACGGTGCATGCTCTCTAATGCTGAACTAGAGAGAAGATTCTGGGCAGAAGCAATGAACATGGCGTGCTTCCTGATCAGCCGTGGACCTCACACAGGTATTGAGTTGAAGACTCCTTATGAGGTGTGGTATGGTAAGCCTGCTGATTACTCTTCACTGAAAGTTTTTGGGTGTCCTGTTTATTATCATGTGGATGAGGGTAAACTGAACCCAAGGGCAAAGAAGGGTGTATTTGTGGGTTATGGAGATGGAGTTAAGGGATTTCGAGTCTGGTCACCTTCTGAGCATCGAGTTATACTCAGTAGAAATGTGATATTTGATGAGAAGTCTATGTTTAACCCCATGTTGAAGGTTACTGTTGTTGAAGGTAGCAGGAATGTTGATAAACAGGTGGAGCTGCAAACTCTCAAAGAGAGTGAGTTTGAGCACCAAGGTGGAGAAGATCAACATGATGAGGATGTCTCTGCAGAGCCAGAAACTTCAGAGTCCAGTGCACGAGCTCAACAGTCTATTGCTTCCAGTAGACCGAAGAGAGCGACTGCAGGAGTACCTCCACAGAGGTATGGCTTCGAGGACATGGTGGCGTATTCATTTCAGGTTGCTGAAGAAGTGGATGCAGGAGAGCCACATTCCTATAGAGAAGAAGGGCATGAAATTTAAAGCTCGGGTGGTTGCACGAGGCTTCTCGTAGAGGGAAGGAGTTGACTACAATGAGATTTTCTCACCAGTGGTCAGACATACTTCGATCAGAGTGCTACTAGCAATAGTGGCACATTATGACTTGGAGCTCGAGCAACTAGACGTGAAGACAGCTTTCCTACATGGAGAGTTGGATGAAGAAATTTACATGACTCAGCCAGAAGGATTCGAGGTTCCTGGAAAAGAAGACTATGTTTGTAAGCTGAAGAAGTCCTTGTATGGACTTAAGCAATCTCCGAGGCAGTGGTACAAAAGGTTTGATAGTTATATGCTTGAGCTGGGCTATAGCAGAAGTCCATATGATTGTTGTGTGTATCACAACAAGGTGGAGGATGGTTCGATGATCTATCTTGTTCTGTATGTGGATGATATGCTCATAGCTGCGAGGTCAAAGTCTGATATCCTGAAGTTAAAGGGGCTTCTCAGTGCTGTGTTTGAGATGAAGGATTTGGGAGCTGCTCAGAAGATCTTGGGTATGGAGATTTACAGGGACAGGTCGAAG